CGAACGACAGTGAGTGAATAGCCGAATGTCGCCGAGCGGCATTCGGCTCGGCTGTTCTGCTCAGTACCTCTGTGGTACCGAGCAGAATTGAAAAACAGTGACAGCTAGCTCCATCCAACTGTTTTCTATTGGCCGGGCGGTTCTGCTGCCGTCAGAATAAAATAAAAAATCACCATAGGAATGCATAGCTAGATTCCTATTGGCTATTTCACTTTGCAATAATGTCATAGACTTACCCGGACCGGAGCTCCGTGACCGCAGCGCTTTGGCTCGGCTGTGACGCCACACCCGACTCCTCCCACTGGGCAAGGCGCCTCCTCAAGAACACAGGTGAGTCAGTCACTCGGCGTTCTATCGTTGTGGAACGTCGAGTGACTGACTCTGTGTGAAACAGAGCTACAGACTACCATAGCAGCAGAGAGTGTGGTTCAGACTGCCTTACAGGGACTCAGCTCCCTGCCATCCACTGGGACTCACCTCTGCCATACCAGGATACCGGTTAATCCTCTTGAAATTAGTCCACACTAGAACCGCAAGTACTAGGGGATCTTCGCCCATCTATTAGTAGCCACTTCTAACCGTAGTCTGCTATTTGCAAATTGATGAACTGTGTCAGCTAGTGTAATTGAACGTGCTACATCAGGAAGAGTGGAGGTATTTGCTGGATTGTGTTACTCAGGCTGGAACCTTCTGTTATAAATATTATACGGAAACCTTCACAAATTATCCCAGTGAATCCTACAGGCTATTCACAACATACTATTGAGTGCTGAGGAGCGGGGAAGCTGTTTTAGGCAAGCGTCTTCCTGCGACACCTCCTCAGAAACTACAAATTACCTCACTCCTCCACTCCACTGAATATATACCCTGCTTACCATCACACCTAGCTGACCCCCCGCGAACCTCAGTGGCCAATAGCCAGTCAACACTCTTAGGACGGGTACATGATGTGGAACGGTCCCCCATCGCACTGAGTGCATTGGGGTTCCGCCAGACTGACCAAACCCTTACTCCTTGAGTGATTAATTCCGCAGCTGAGATCCAGGAATATATTGTGCCTGCTGGACTGTGACAAATAGCCAATAGCAAACTAGCTATTGCAAACCGAGCAGGGAAAGGTTTACTCGATCGAGCAGAGTGAACCTTTCTGGGAGAAAGTGTTTCTCTCCCGGGTGGCCGTATTAGACTCCCAGAGCATCCGGGAGAGTAATGACAGATGGCGTTCCTGGTTACCAGGTAACCAGGAAATCCATCTGTAATTACACACTGAGAACTCGGAAAGGCCGCAGTGATATCATAGTGGCCCGGTCGGGTTCTCAGTGTGTAATAAAAAGATACCATAAGATGTCTATTTTGTTTATTAGTAACAAAAGCTTCTTCTATGTACCTGTCTGATTTAGATTTACCTACCTATTGCGCTTGACTTTTTCAAACTTCAAGGCTCAGCTTTACCAACTACCATTCTCCTGCCCTTATTAGGCCCCGTTCACATTGAGCGATGTATCGCGCGGTAATTCCCGCGATATCGCGGCTATTTACCGCGCGATATCGCTCTTCAATGCTTTGCAATGGGGCAAAGGGTCCTACTGTCGCGGGTCGTGTGTCGCTACAGCAGGACCCTTTTTGGAGCGGATTTTGCCGCGATTCAATGGTTTTTGATGCAAGCATTTGCGCGATATCGCGCAAAATGCAAATCGTGCGACATTTGCGAATCGCTCAATGTGAATGTGGCCTTAGACATAGTCTCACTGAGCAACAGAATAGCAGTCGCCTGGGCTTAGTCAAGTTAGGCCCCAGTAGCAAAGTAAACTAAACTAAACAACTAAATCAGAAGAAACGTTTTGGGCTAATAAAGATAATGCAGGAATCCTGCGCTGTTTGTTGTTGTGAGGACTTTATTAAAGAGGACCTTTACATTCAAAAATCAAATTCTACCAATGCATCCCTCTATGTAAGTAAATGTTTTGATGAGTTAAAAGCTTGTTGGTCCTGGCTGGTGTAAAAAAGAAATAAAAATAATTCCACTCACGAGTAGGTTTACTGTGCAGCTCATGCGGTTGTATTTGCTCTCGTCAGTTACCACTGCTCTGTAATCCAATAACCTTTCCAGAAGACCTTTTATCAGTGCCACAAAATTACTGACTCCTTTAGTAATGGATGGAAACTTTTCAGCATAATCCAGCAATCTGTGAGAACACAAAATATACAATATATTGTGATAGCAACTGAGCCTATTGTAATAACAGATTAGTTCAAACAAGCAAGAAATAACCCAAACATATATTTATATAAATAGTCAAACTTTGATCTATACAGCTTACATTTTGGCAACTGTGTCAGTGGCTTAGAGTTAATTCTTGTATTGTTTCTATTGTCTTGTATTGTTTCTTTGTATTAAATAGAACCTAGGGAACAGTGGCAATTTTAGACGAAATAGGGAACCTTGGCAGAAGTAGAGCCCCGAGTCTGAAATATTGACCCTGATTTGCTAAATGAGTAGATCATGTTCACTTAGCAAGCACTTTACAAAGAATATCCAGTCAGTTTTTGCTCGCACATGGAGTAGAGCTTGTTTCAAAGTAAACAAGTTCTACTGTGATTTTAAAGCGATTTTGCCGCGTTCCGGAGCTGATTTTTCATTTTGCTTTTTATTAGCTTAAAATGGGCTTTCAGGTGCAGTCCAGTGCACTTGCAATCATTTGTATGCTTTTTCTTGTGTTTCCATGCATTCCAGTGCATCCCAGACCCGACAAAATGTGACATGCAGTATTTTTCTGGTCTGGTCTGATCTGGAACGGACTGCTCTGGTGTGAACAGAGGCCAGAAATAGCATAGGGATACATTAGGATGGCTTTTGGTTCTGGAAATAATCTGGTCTGGTGATGATCTGAATGTGGTGTGAACAGTCCCTTAGTAAATAAGGGCCACTGCATCAGTTGTTCAAGACAATTCCAGGTAATCATGATGATAGGTGCTATGGTAACAAAAATGTTTCAAGAATCATGCTACCAGAGGCAGAAAAAGGACACATTATTGTTATAAGAGGCATAACTTTAGCTACGATTACAGATCAACAATCGTACTCTGATGTTTCATGTTACAGCTGCATGTTACCTTAAGGCCTGGTTCACATCTGTACGTTTTGTAGCGCGTTCAACGCTCTACAAACGCTCTACAAACTGCTCAAACATGAAAATCCCATTGTTTTCTATGGGTATGGTTCACACCTTGCCGTATTTCAGCCCGTCTGAACGCGCTACAAAACGGCCTACGCCTGAAAAGGTACATGAGCTTCTTTGCGGCGTTTTTGTAGCGAGTTTCATTGGGATACAGCCAAGTAGCCTTCGGAAACGCGCGCTTGTCACGCGGTTTTTTACGCACGACAAACACGCATATTCGATACGCCTAGGTGTGAACAGAGCCTAACATGTCTTCTTGTTTACCAGATACAGTTTTATGTACACAAGCTAAATTTAAATGTTTCATTTTTAAGTTTCATATTACAGAAGCCAGAAGAATATCAAGTTAGTTGTATAAAACTTCTGCATACAGTCCACCGTCCTGTGCACAGGTATATACACCTGCCGATCCCTAAGACATCCACATTCCTAGATATGTCTGGACATCTGTCTTCACTATCCCCACTGCGCCTAACCAAGGATATATATTTAGTGGCACTCTCTTGTACTGCCTGCTGACTGTTGCCATCCAGTCCAAGTGCCCACGGCATAGGGAAGCTATTACGAGCTTGTCCCACCCCCCTTCCATCGTTCCACCAATCACAATTGCGGGACGGCCCTGGGCTCCTCCCAGCTGTCAAATTTAAATAGACCGAATCCTTCCCGCATTTTTTCTTCCACCACGATCCCAGGCTTGACAAAGAGGCAGCGGCCTCGAAATGCGTAGCCGACTGCAGTGTGACACCCCTTACTTATGCCGATCAGCCCCGCGCTCACTGCCACGTCCACCCACCGCTCACTGTATTCTGACAGTGACAGTACCGCCTCAGAGCGGCTTCTCTCGCACAGCCGACAGGACTCAGCCTGGCCAGCTGTTTCCTTACGGCTCTTAACAGCATCTTTACCACTACTGTTCAGCTTATTCATAGACATGGCCATATGATGCCAACCTCAGCCAGCTACAAATTCCTATGTGCTTTAGTCACATAAGTCGATCTTGACCAGACACTGCCATTAGCAGCCCATCAGACCCTGAGCCCACATAGCCCTCAGCACTTGATGGGAGGTCCAGTCAAGGTCTGTTCACATACTCATCCACCCACTCCACTCTCATCACACCTGGCATCCTAGCATCTTGGCTAACACCACGCTTCTGCACAGCGTTCGCAGAGGAATTTCCTGGGACACAGTGACATCTTAAACGTGAGTGATTTTTATACAGTAGTAGCGCTCTCAACCAATTTGCTTATTGTCACTTCACACAGGGCCCCTCACCCTGTCTTCATAGAGCTTGCACACTGTTTTTTAACCATTGTGTTGTAAACCTTTTTTTTTTAACCCATTGTTCAAATCAATTGTGGCCACCCCCCTAGTAGTGGTTACCCCTTGTAGTGCGCTTTTCCATGTTTCTTTTGTTTAAGTTATAGGCTTGACAATACTATCGATTCGAAGCAATATCAGACTACCAGCACAAAGCACTGAGCAACACACATTCAGCACATTACAATGCCAAGAGGCTATTTACAAAACATAGAAAGATGCAAAAGCATCACCCCAAACTACTTTTATTTAACTCATTTCAGTCGAAAAAGCATTTTTTTCTGGTAGATTTATGAGTAACAAATGCTTTTATCTATGTCCAAAATACTTAATTTTTATTTACTATAAGAAAAAAAGTTTCTTTATTGTTCAACCAAAAACTGTGTTAACATGCCTAATTGCACACCATATCAGCTATCTCCTTAAAAAATAGAGCTACAGCCTTCAGATATATGTGTGGGTAAAAATTGGCCAGTGGCACCACAGTTAGATGGCAGAACCAAAAGACCTAAATTTGGAGACACGCTTGAGACAGGTGTCTTTCTAAAAAATTGAAGCCTTCCGGTATTAGAGGGTAAAAAAATGGCCAGTGTCACCACAATTTGATAGCATCACCCACAGGCCTAAATGCAGAGATAAAAGATATGAATTGCTTGCTTTTTTAAAAGGTACTGGTCCTAATAAGTACTCCTGGGTTCAGTAAATATCCATGAATGGGGGAGCATAAAAGAGAACGTACCCTACCCCTGCAATTAACCAAACTTAAGCACTGTTAAATCACTGATAGTAATTCTCATAAGCACTTTGGAGTTCAGAAAAGTTCTACCACAGTTAGTGTTTTGATCCACCTAATTTCTTCCTATACAGTCAGTAAGCTCTGCCAGTCTTGTCACTATACCCGCTACAACACACTGGGATATATTTACTAATGGATTAAAGCAGGTTCACTTTGCAAAGTAAATTTTCACTTTACAAGGTGTAACAGGGTGCCTGTTAAACCTGCCAGGTTGGCAGGAAAAGTGATTGATGGAAGATATGTTCCTCCATGGATTCTTAAACAGCCCATCATGCACTGACTAATGTAGTTTGCAATTATCATTCTTAAGCACCACTAACTGGCCAATTTTCGTTGATCAAACTACCAAATTTTCATTTGAGCAAGTGCCGTTTTCATCTTGAGATTTTTGTTGTACGAAAATGCCACAAATCCATCCATTTTCTTCCAACTAGACAAAAAATTTCTAGCCTGCTTGAAAGACTAAAATCTGCCAGCTGTACAGTAATTGCGGTTGGGCACTTCCCATTAACTGGCAGATTTTCGGACGAAAAAACGAGCATGACCGAAAATCGGCAGATCATTTTAAGGTGTATGGGCACCTTTAGATATATGATAGTTCTTTACCCTATGTTATTAAAACATGTTCTGGGGCTGGTTTTACTAGGAGTCTGATAGAGCTCTGGGTGGGATAGACTCCTGGGTCCATGGACCAAAATTTGGTAGTGACTGCACAGGTCCTCATTAGTGTGCAGCTGGACCTAGCTGTGCAGTGTGTGTCTCAATGGAAAGAGAGACAGTGTGCTGAATGCAGCAAGCATTTGTGTTTGTAACTGTTCCCTTAGAGCACGTGTCAAACGCAAGACCCAGGGGCCGAATCCGGCCCACCAGGCCATTTCCTAGACTTCTACTTTCAGATCTAGGTATTAAGTTATTACTAAAACCAGTGATAATCAAATGCAGAGGCAATTATGATTAGATACATTTATATAGTCTTACAGGCCCTTTGAGGGCAACCATAATATTGATGCGGCCCTCGATTAAATGGAGTTTGACACCCCTGCCTTAGAGGAAACGGACCCAGCTCAAAGGACTAGCGCAAATAGACATGTGCAATGCGTTTCGTTCCGAATTGGAATTCGTACAATGCAAAAAACAAACTCCCCGATGCAATGTTTACATCTGGCAGTGGGCAGAAATAAACAAAGCATGCTATTGGCTATTTAAAATAGAAATACCCAATAGCAGGCTGGCTAATGCTCCGCCCACTGCCTGATGTCAGTCACAGAGGAGCGGACCTGAGAGAGAACTTTCCCTCTCAGGTCCGCTCCACTGTAGGAGCAATAGACATTCTGTTATTGACTATTTTAAATTGCAATAGCAAACTGGAAGTGGGCAGAGCAATAGCCAGATTGCTATTGGCTATTGCACTTTGAAATAGCCGATAGCAGCATGGCTGCCTCTCACTGCTTTCTGTCAGTCCCAGAGGAGCGGACCTGAGAAAGAAAGTTTTCTTTCAGGTCTGCTCCTTTGCTGACTGACAGAAGGCAGTGGGCTGAGCGATAGCCAGCCTGCTATTGACTATTGCAATTTAAAATAGCCAAAAACATAATGGCTATTGCTCCTGCATAGGAGCGGACCTGAGAGAGAAAGTTCAGTGGGCGGCCAGCCTGCTATTGAGTATTTCAATTTTAAACAGCCAATAGCAGGCTTTGTTTATTTCTGCCCATTGCCAGATGTAGACATTGCATTGGGGAGGTTTTTTTTCCAATTGTCGGCAGACGCTGGAAAGACTTATTGAGACTTATTTTAAATGAAGGACTTGTGTTTTGTTTTCAATGAAAGGAATTTTTTCTAAGATTTTGTATGTTTATTTACATTTTATTTAACCCTTTAGTGAATGAGTAGGGTACAAGTTGCCCTTACTCATTCAGAAGGGGGGGGTGGCATATGGGTGACCCCTTTATGAAAGGGGTACCCAGATGCAGATCAGCCCCCTGCCCACAAACCCCCACAACCCCCGGGTCAAAGATGTGAGGAAGGGGCCATAGGCATGGGGACAAGAAGCTTTTTAAGGGGGTTTCCCCTGGAAAAGCACCCTCCTAATTCCAAGGGCATGTGGCCTGGTATGGTGGAGGGAGGGGGGGCCAGATGAGCCCCCTGCCCACAGACCCCCACAACCACCGGGGCTTCCTTTTTTTTACATGAGGGGTCCCCCATAACATTCCTGTCAGACCTAAACGGTCTGGTATGTAAACGCTGTTTTTTTTGGTGGTGTCAGAAATTTAAAAAAACATGTCACTTTTTTGCAACAAATTTTAGTTCGTAATGATCATTTAACTAATTTGAAATTAACGAAATTCGGATTCATCCAAATACCAAAACGAATTGACTTTCAGACCCGAGTCCCGAAAAACAAAATAACAAAACATCCGAAACTAAACTAAACACATTATTTGCCGGCTTACATGTCTAATTGCAAACACTCAGTAAGGCTCAGTGGAGCAGAGCTTTATTTTGTTTATGACAATTTCTTTTTGGCTGGTGCCTGTAACCTTTATGTTTATTGCTGTCCAGAATTAAAGCTGGCAATTTTGTTGAAGAGACTGAGTTTGCCTCTGCCTTGAGACTAGTTCCCTACAAAGGGAATTTCCACATGGCTTAGTAAATGATGTGATGCTGTGCTGACATTTATCATTTATGCATGTGCAAGAAAAGAGCCCTGTTTTTTTTTTTTTTTTTTTTTCTCTTGGCATGAGGTTTAGTAATCTTTGCAAAGTTAATTGTTTCAACATTCACTAAAGAAATCATTCCCTTGCAAAGTGAAAATAGTCTTTTGCAAAGTGAACATGATTTACTTCCCTAGTAAAGCAGTCGCTATGGCTGCTCTCAGCTTCCCTTATAGTGAGGGGCTAGGTTATTCAGTTCCCTCACCTGACAGGCTGCTGTGAGGTGGCTGTGAGGTGACTGACCAGAGTGAAAGGATGCACCATAGGTGAGCACCACATTTTGCTGACCAAATTTTACATTTGAGCAAAATTTTAAAATGTATTAGAAATCCAATTCAAATTAATATTCAAACAGAATCTCATTACTATTTTTAATATGATGTCCAATAATACACATTCTATAGCAATGTTTTAGAAACCTGTACTAATGTACACATTACATTGCATGTTCATGTCAAGGACTCAGAGGTGTAATAGTGTGTTTTAGTGCTACTCACGTCTTGCAACTGTCTTGTATCGCAATGCACTTCCCTCATTGCTTGCAAACTATCCACACTACAGCTTTCAAGTTAGTATATACTGAAAAAGTAAGGACTGAACCATTTCTTTACATGAAGAGTCTTCAATGCACTTTATAAACGTAGGAAGAAAATGGTGTAAAAAGCATCCAACATACCTCAATGTGCACTGAAACTTCAGATGCATATGGTGTTGCAAGTCTAATTTTTTCAGCCTCATATGACATATCATTTGTAAGCTACATGTGACAATTGCAGTATGCTGTGTTTATGTTATTGTAATCTCAAAGGTTTTCTTAAACTATTCTGTCACATGGAGCATAGTGGGCAGAGGTATGAGATGTGATTCATATCTTCTTTTCAGAAGAAAGGCGAGTTTATTCATGTATTGCTCAGTTAGCAGTGAGGACATTGATTGGAACTGAGAGCAGGTAAATGGGGAAACATGCCTCGGGCAACGTCTAAGTAAGAAGTAAGCGATCTCAATGACACATGTTGCATGATGCATGAAAGCATGCAGTTGCTAGATTTAAAAAACCTCATTCATGCAGTTCATGCATTCACGCAGGACGCTCCACTTTCCAGAGCATGTACTGCGTTTTTCCTGCAGAGCTCGTCTGTCAGATTTACAGCAAGATCTGGATCTGTGTATCAGGAGCCCTGCTAGGCCTCAGCTAGCTGGTCCACCTCTTGACCTCTTGAAATGGTACTGCAGATTAACTTATTTTTAAAGGAATTTTTCAGAAAGCAAAATACCCCTCTCAAAAGCCTCTGAAGAAGCCCACTACTCCACCACATATATAGGCAGTTGCCTTGGTCTGTTAATACCCACCAAACATCGCACATACAGTACATGCAATATACTTTTCTATTTGCATATCTGTTTAGTTTAGTTTATATTAGAAATCAAGCCTTGTCATGAAAAAAAGGGGATAGTGTTTGGAAGGAAAAAAATATGTATATTATGCATTGTCTCACATGTTTTCAAAAAGCTGCATGTACTGCCAGTCCCCACGTCCTCCTTCAACTTCATGGTCCAGTTTCAGTATTATTTCATTTTCAAACTGTAAATGAAAAGTACAAAACTGTTAGCTTTAGCAAATTATCCACATTAGCTTCAATAAATGAATTGCAAGACAAAAAAGCCATCAAGCTATGCAAGACAATGAAAAATATTGTCAATAAACAAAAAAAAGAGTCAAAAAGAAATGGATGAAGAAGTAGAACTAAAATCAGATGTTGCAATCTATTATTGAGCTGCCTTCATTTTTGTTTACAACTTAAAGTGACACTAAACACAGGTGTTAAACTTTAAAAATGAATTCAAGTACCTTGACTATTAACAAAACTGGACCTTATTTGTGTATCACTCGGCTGTAGATCCTCAAATCATCTCTGAATTTGTGCTGACACTGTCCTTTCTTCAGGAGGGTGACTACTTTTGTTCTAGATGTTCCCTGTGTGTGTATTGTGAAGTAGCCAACGTTCCAAGCTCGCTCCTGTGATGAACTGCAATCTCAAGACAAATTAGTAAACTAAACATGAGATTATAGTCAATCACAGGAGTGAGCACGGGGCAGTGGCTACTTTACAATACACACAGGGACGATGGGGAACAAAAGTAGCCACCCTCCAGAAGGAAGGGCAGTGTCAGCATGAATTCAGAGATAATTTGAGGATCTACAGCCAAGTGATGCAGAAATAAGCTACATTTTTCTTAGTTGAGGTACTTAAATGCATTTTTAAGGTTTAACTCCTGAGTTTAGTGTCACTTTAACTGCCACACTTGGATTTCTGTCCAAGTATTTGATTTCTATAGTTTTTTCCAAGAAATATGCATACATCAGTATCATAGAGCAACAAGGGAACAGGTGTAGGAAACTAAGCATGCTGGGATTTTACCAATTGTGCATTGATATATTACTGGCAAACTAGAAATAAAATAACAGTTGCAAGCACTATTTACCAAATATATTTTATGACATTTCTGGATTCCATTATACATTAATTGGTTTAGGTTTGTGTTACCTTTCTAAAATCCCCAGTTTGGCGGAATTCACAGAGCATCATATCAAAAAAGATTGGAATTGTGGATTTACGTAATTCAGCTTCTGGTATAAGTGTCATTTCTAGAATTGGTCCAACCATTCCAGGAATGAAGCAGATCTTATTCTTATCTAATATGAGGTAATATAACAAAAATAAAACTGTAGATACCTTTCTAAAATCCCCAGTTTGGCGGAATTCACAGAGCATCATATCAAAAAAGATTGGAATTGTGGATTTACGTAATTCAGCTTCTGGTATAAGTGTCATTTCTAGAATTGGTCCAACCATTCCAGGAATGAAGCAGATCTTATTCTTATCTAATATGAGGTAATATAACAAAAATAAAACTGTAGCTTTATACAGCAATAACATATATATTTATATTTAATATATTTATCTAGCTTATGCTTTAAAGAAATATCTCACTATAACGTAAGCAGCAGAAATGACAATTATATTTAAAGCATATATTTCAAAAAGGCATGTTTATGAATTCTATTCTTAAAGGAGAACTATGAGGTGAGTGCTTTTCACTCACCTCATAGTTCTAGCCGACCTGTGACAATGAGACTGTCACAGGTCGGCTCAGTAGATCGGGAGGTGAGCGAACATATACCGGCGTTTGCTCACCTCTCGATCCTGTC